CACAAAAGCATTGTACACAATTTAAACCAATAATTGTCGTATAATTAACAAGGATAAACTGATGTTTTTTAGTTGATGAGTACTGCAGATAACACTGTTAAATCATTTGATCATTGGTTTTATTATGAAAACGTCGAGACCGGAAATACTGTTTTCAACCCGTAACTTTACATGGAGGCTGCCGCATACCTCAAATCATCTTCGTAATATCTATCAAACTATAGATCCTACATATCGACTGGACGTGGATACTAAAAATACAATATACACTTCTCGCTAGAAATCTAATCAAAAAGCGTTTTAATGGCCAAACTATCCTACAATTTAGGATTTTACAGAGAGGGTTATTTGTGAATAAACGACCATCTGTAACGTTAGCATTCAACGGGAGCACTAGAGGTCGAAAACTTTAAAACGTAATTATAGGACGTATTAAGCGCTTGAACAAATGACATATTTGGTCGTAATAAGGGCCTGAACAATCGGCCCATTTGGTCGTATGAGTTGGAGGACTTGTTGGTGGAAATATGATTGGCGGCAATTTCATTTGAACGGGACGGCGCAAAACGAGAAGCATTCGGACCCAAGTAGACGGAAGGAATGAGGTATTTGCGGTCTACAATGACAGAGAAGAGACTGTCAAGTTTGGCTGTACTCCGCATTGAATCAAAACACGCTAAAGCTTTGGATCTTACTCATTTTGTGAGGCCTTTTTGCTGAACAAAATGGTAATCGCCGCATTCAGCTGTAGCATACCTCATTCACACCAACGCCACTCCGGTTCAAGCTCCGTGCTAGAGCTTTTCAGGTTCAGAACCGGTTCTTCGGTTTAGCTCCGGCTCTTTTCACACCGCCCAGAGTCCGACTGGTGCTGCGTCATTGCGTCATTACGTAACCGTTTGCGTGCCTGCTTCATAAAGCCAAACTGTGCGGAAACCCCTCACAGCTCACACCGACAACAACAACAATGGCCGATTGTGCTCCAGCTTCCTCTGTACCTCTTCGGAAGACCAGATTCCCAGTAGGTAGCTGGTCTCTTCAGTGGACCACTGCTGCTTGTTAAGTTTCTCCATCGTTGTGTACAAACTGGATAAAACGCAGGCTTTTTGTTGTTGTTCAGGAGTTGATCCCGCCCCTGCCCCCGCCTCGACGTAAGCGTGAGGTGCTTTTGCTCTAGCCGGACAATTTTTTGGTGCTTGAAACGAACCGGATTCCGGAGCTAAGAGGCTGCTCCGCTGCGGTGTGAACAGGAAAACCCGGTGCTTTTCAAGCTCCAGCTCCGAACTGGCCCTGAAACACCGTTGGTGTGAATGAGGTAATAGACATGCCAACTTGATGCTCTGCTCACGGATGAGCATACAAAACAGTTAAGATGATGACCTTGTATGTGTGTATATATATATTTTTTCTTTGTGGGGGTCTGCCCCCAAAAAACAGTTTTAAGTCCTGAGAAAGTCAAATAAGACGGTGTGTAAAACTACACTGCCCAGCCAAAACAAAGTGACCACTTTGATTTAACTAGGCCAGTAGGTAAGGACTTTCCACTGGATAATAACTTACTGAAGCGATGTATATGTTTTAGCTGAATACACGTTTTTTAACCCTAACTGATGCAGTTAGTCACTTCTTTAATGTTTGTTCTTTCTGATGTAAAGTCAAGGTTGTAACTGTTTGCAGTAAAGTTGTGGGGCGCTGAACTGTTCTTTTGATTCTTTTGAATTTTGATATATGATCGTAATTACTTGTCTTTCAAATTTGAAGAAGGGTGAGCAAGCATCTTGAGGAACATTCATCATTAACTAAAAAATATAGTTTATTTAATAATAACACTGAATATGTGAATCATAAAGTGATTGACAGCTGATAGGAATGATATGATTGTTAATATTATCATATTAATTCAGACAAACATCGATGAGACAGTTCATTCATGTACTTATTGCAGCAGTCTGCATATATTTGGTACCCCTGCTGGTCTAAGAGTGAAACAAACTCATTCAGTTATTGTTCATTTAAAATTCATTCAATTATGTCTGCCCCCTTATATATTTATATTTAAGAATTTACTGTTGTGCCACAATAATGTCACCTAATGTTATTGAGTCAAAATATCAATATTGTGGCTTTCCAAGTTAACATTGATTGATATGACTGCGATTAAATCAGCATATACTGATGCTGAATATGTTTTTGCCGGTCAACATGTCCGTTAAAGTTGAAATCTTCCGGACAAAATTAGAAAAGTGCCGGTCAAAGGTCTCCTTTGTTATTTATTGAGCTTTAAAACAAATTGATATGATTCGATATTAAACAAACTAATTATAGTAGATTAACTACATTATTCAAAAGTGTACAGTAACTTACAATAACACGGGAATAATAAACGGAGCGCTCTCTCTCTCTCCTGACAGCCCGCCAGTATCATGCAGCTCGCGGATCCAGTAATGAGTGACCCGACAGTAAAACTAAACATATCTATAACTAGTTTAGGTAGTTTGAGAGGTAATTAAAATAGCTACGTGTGATGTTCTAACCTGAAGTGTGTTTTGCTCTGCTCGCCGCTGCAGGGGATCATGCAGAGCTGCGTGTCGACTCGTCAGCAGCAGCCGATCTCCCTCTCCCGTCAGATTAGACTTTACTCGCGTTTATGTCCATATTGATCAGATCTAGCTAGTTCTAGCTAATGATATGACTACCTGCTTATTAAAAGACACCTAAACAATAAGCGTCGCTATGCAACCGGGTGAGGCCACAAAGTATAGCGCAGCATTATGCATTTGTTTACATGCCCACCGGAACCCCGAGGCATTACCAACAGATCAAAAGCACAATCAACCCATACAGGACATCTCTTTCTCCACATTAAGTGTTAGACATTAGAATGGACTATTCTTGTCTGTCACATACTCTTTTGTCTGTCACATACTATTCTCGTCTGTCACATAAGTGGCGCAACTGATGCGGTATTGTGCTAAGGGAAAATCATTTTGACCGGACATTTTAACCGGAGAGATTTAGATTTGCCGGTCTTCAGCATATTTTACCGGTCACAGTCCGGTAATTACCGGCTAACGGGAACTCTGCTGTGTTCACCTTGTGCCAATAATAATAATAGAAAGCTAAATGTAATATTGTAATGCGATGTAACAGAGGGCTTCAACGGAACAGTGTTAGTAACTACACACACAGCAGTAGCACAGTGGATAATAATAATAATAATACATTGGATTTTTATAGCGCTTTTCCTAATGTTCAAAGACGCTTAATAATAATAATAATAATAATAATAATAATAATAATAATAATAATAATAATAATAATAATAATAATAATAATAATAATAATAATAATAATAATAATAATAATAATAATAATAATAATAATAATAATAATAGTGTCACAGACCCAGAGTCGCTCTGTCTGAGAGCATTAGCATCTTCAACTCTCAGTGAATCTACACCCAGGGCCGTCCCTCCCTACAGGTTGATCATGCAGGCTGCATGGGGCCTCACATTGCGCAGGGGGCCTCGCGCAGGGGGCCTGGCGCAGGGGGCCTGGCGCAGGGGGCCTCGGCTTATGAGCTCGGCTTGTGCGCAGTTGTTAGCGCAGTTCTCAGCGCAGTTCTCAGCGCAGTTCTCCGCGCACCCTAGCACCCGAGCATTTTTTCCCCTTTTATTCATTTTTATGTCAATTTGCAAATTTCATGGTGATGCTCAGCCTCTCCCCTTAACTCCTAATACTGATAGAAATGTGTGTGTAGTTGTTGATACATTGCTGACAGAGGGAACTACATTTGAATACAGATTTAAGAAATATCAGTTTTTGAGCATGTAATAAGCATGTTTTGTCTTGACTATATTACAACAATATTATAATAAAATAATATAGTATTTATATTATTGAATTGATAGATGGCCAGGGACGGCACTGTCTACACCACATAAGAAAGACACAGCAGAACCTGGTCAACTTAACCATTGAGAAAAACCTCATTGAGCCTGCTTTATGAGCCAAATGCTGAGAAACAAAATACATCTATTTCGACATGTCAGGACAAAATAACCTGAGTTTTAAATATATTAATTATTCACTGCGTGTTTATAACATACCGGTTTTTTATTTGTGTTTCATCCTCACACACAAACTTTGTCTGAGTGAGTGTGTCTGTGTGTGTATTTGTTGAGGTTTGAAATCAAAGTGTGTATGTGTTTGTCTGTGTGTGTATTTGTTGGGGTTTGAAATCAAAGTGTGTGTGTGTGTGTGTGTGTGTGTGTCTGCTATTATAAGTTGTCCATGGACACCACACTATTATTACTAGTCCCTTTGAAGAAGGCTGCAGCAGTTCGACCCATGAGCTTCTGCTGATTATTAAATACAATTACCAGAGGTGGAAGAAGTACTATGATGTTGTATTTTAGTAAGAAGAAGTCGAACCCCATATCCTCCGATTGGTAACACCCATTCCCCCTTGTGCAGTAGCCGACCAGAATAATGACAGGCCTAACGATATGAAAACTACTTTGTGAGTATTTACAATAAAAGAAGATTATTAGAAAATGATGTTTAAATAGATAATGCTTCCTCAGATTGACGAAGGAAAACCCGCTAATAGTTTAAACATGACGCACCAGTTTGTTAGCCAACTCACCTGATGGCTGCTCGGCACATTACTGCAGATAGGATCCAGAAATGACTCCAGACAGTACAGAACATTGGTCCGCCAAACAGTTTCACCCGGGGCTATACTGTGCCCACTTCCTGATCCCTGCATGCAAACTTTCCAACAACACACGCACGGTGTCAAGTCAGACCGGACACCGGCGGCATTTCCGGTCTTATTTTTCAAAATAATTCCCGACAGCTGTCTTACTTCGAAACAGCGTATTAATATTCCCATTCAAGTGAAGAAACAAATTAAATAAACCAAGGGGGAAAGTAATGTGCATTTCAGTGCAACAGAAATAAAGTTGAACATTGTTCAAAACAGACACACAGAATCCCATTTTGCCACACGTTCTTTTATTCTATTCAAACACATTTCCGACAACAGAATAAATTGAACACTAAGGCTTTATGTTCATCTGTATTAAACTACAAAAGCTTGTCATACAATAATCATAACCTAAGCAGGATGTATTAAAACTAGGGCTGGGCAAGTTAACGCTTTATTAATTAACGCCGACAATTATTATTATAATTATTTTATCGCGTGTTAACAGCTTTATTATTATTATTATGAGTAGGCTACGTTGCTCACTGGCTCTTACTACACATATAAAGATACCAACAACAACAACATGAACATATTTCCCCCTAATTTAACTGTCATACACGTTTCAAAATGATGCAGAAATAACTACATACTGATACCGGTTAGGAAAAACCATGAATTGATGCTTTGCAAGTGTCCTTACAAGACAGTGGACGACTGGGAGTCAGTAGACGACGGAGGAGTCAGTGGACAAACAGAGGAGAAAGAGGATTCACATGTGACACCAAAGACCAGAGATCACCTTTACTTTAAACATGTAGGTAATGTCTTCTATTCATGAGGGCAGAAAGCTCTAAAAATGGCCCATAAAGCAAAAACATTTTTTTATCCAATCATCGTTTCAGTGCTTTTGTATTTTTTTTAAATATGAATATTTGTTTTTAAAAAGAATGGCTTTTTATACTGACATTACTGAAACTGTTGAGTAAAAGTATTTCTTCACCTACAGCATTTACAAGAAAAGGTGAACAAACATCAATCTTCTGGGATCTGACATAGTGTTCAGACCAACTGATCTATTCCTAAACTCAGCCTCAGCAGCATGAGTGAAGACAGAGGTGTGTAGTGTAGTCCTTCTCACAGAGTTTCTCTTAATTTGATGGTCACTGCTTTCACCTCTGAGTACTCAGCCAGAGCATACTCTCCCCTGAGAGGAGAGAAACAACACATGGTGAGGGAACACAAAGGGAATAAGTGAATAATCTGAAATATGAAGACAGTGATGGTTCTTACAGCTCTCGTCCATTGCCTGACATCTTATACCCTCCAAAGGGAGTCTGGACATGAAGGGCGTTATAGCAGTTTATCCTGAACAAAGATAGAGAACACAAAACGTAATAATGGCCAAAACCACATTTTAATCACATAAAGAAACCCTTTACCAGCAGTGAAATGAAGGCCAGTCGAAAAATGTAAAACATATAATACAAAATAGAGATTTTAGATCATTTTCTGTTAAAACGTTAAAGTTAGAGAAACAATTAACATTACATTACATGTCATTTGTTAGAATAACTGAGAACCAAAATCAATATGCATTTAATTTTAACAAAGCTGAGTATGTTTTTGTGTGACAAAAATCTCAGTTTCATTGCGTGTTTGCATTTTTGCTTTCGTATGATTGAGGCTGATCAATACATATCGGGCAGTGTGTAATGTCAATTTTACCTTAAAGTTAGCCATAACTGATGTTTGATACATGGTGCAGTTATGGCTGTGGATGAAAATGCAGCATTTGATTTTATTCTCATGGTGATCACACGCTATTGAGTCCAATTTGCTGATTTCTTCCCTCAGCCGTGATATTACAGACCACTTGGGGCTCGCTGAGGGTAACTTTGTCTACCTCAGTTTTTTATGAGTGGTATTGTCAAGTGGAGTCAGTCAGCCATATTGTTTCTTAATCTCTGCGTGTGTGTTCCTTTTGTGCATATTGTTTGATATGTGAATATGGATAGTAGAGAAAATTGCTAGAACGACACATTGAAACATTTTGTATAATGATCATGCATTACATTACTTCACCAGATCATGCCTGAATTTTGCCCCATGATGCTGTTGGAATAAAATGTAAATGTTGTTTTATTGACAAATACAAAGGCAAATGAAATGGGGACTCACCAGACAGTGCCAGTCTCCAGGGCTGCAGACACAGACAGAGCTCTGTCTATGCTGGCTGTGAACACTGCGGACACCAGGCCATACCGGGAGCTGTTGGCCCGCTCTATGGCCTCCTGCTGGCTCTTAAAGCTGAAGATGCACTGCACTGGACCAAAGATCTGAGAGGACAAACATATCAATTGAGACCAGTCAAATATCCCAGTGTGAAATTAAATGCTTTGGTTTCCTGTCCTTTGTTTGACATTCACATTGAATAAAACATAAATGTGTAATTAAAATATATATAATAGCTGGACTAGTTATATATTTAAGAAGAAGAAGATTTTATTTTTAAAACACATTTTATTTGCATTTTTGTTTGTTTTAAACATACACCCACCCTGCAAAAGAGTCGGAACAAACCTAATACATTACACAATCAAATAAATAAATAAACAGATTTTCATTACTACCAAATAAATATCATTTGAAAGTGTTTTACCCATTTAAAGACATCCTCTTTTACACACTTTAAAAACAAAAACTACACCTATCCTTTAAAACTTCAATATTAGAGAGTCATTCTCCCCCAGTGAGCACAGAACCTGCCCAACAGCCCACACATCCAGAAACCCCTGCAGATGATTGATCAGCGTATAGTACGCATGCTCCACCCTTAACCCTTAAAGACCAAGACGGAATTTTCGCCTGCCTGACTCTCCTGTATTTATTTGTTTCTCCTAACCTGTTCTAACCTTTTCTAGCAGTCAGCATCAAGTGCCTTACCTCATTTGATTCAGGAGAACCTCTAGTTCAAGTCTGGTTAATTTAAAGTCCACATTTTACCTTAACTTTGTGTGATAATGGCTGAATTTACCAAAGCATTCAAAAACGCCAGTACAAATGTTGTTTTTTTACTGTTTACTCCGCCAGGAACATAGGAATTTTCTTTTTTATTATTTATAAAGCTGCATTTAGATGTTTTAGGCTTTCAAATGAAATGTAATCTGCATATTATGTTCCCTGAGCAAGTTACAGCTATTTATTACAACATTTCAGTGAAAAACACCTAGGATAATATGGAATAATAAAAACGAAATGTATTTCCATATTTAAATGACTGATCATGTTTCTTCTGTCAAAAAAAGGTTGAGAGAGTAAACAAAAAAACATTGAACCATAACAGATGACATTGCAACAAAATTAACTTGTTTCAGAGAAATATATTATCATTTGAACATTTAAATACAAACACAAACAGTGAAACAAATTCCAAGTGCTGGAGATACAAAGTGCAAATGAACAAAGTGCAAATTATCTTGAAACTATAAACAAAGTATTATAAATATATAGAAAGTGCAAATGTACAAAGAGCAAATGATCTTCAAACTATAAACAAAATATTAGAAAAATATACAAAGAGCAAAGGAAATGTATCAACATTTCTTAAATTATTTACATTAAATTACAATCAGACTTGATTCAGTCAATCGAAAGGTTTTACGTGCGGCTGCTATGCCACTTGCTGAAGCAATTTCTGTGAGCCACAAGACGCAGTGTCACATCACACCGCGCACACTTCCAGATGGAACGTCTTTTGCAGAGCACACATTTTCGCCGACCTTTTGTTGCCGTGTCTCCTGACCTCCGTCTCGCAAATGAGTCAATTCCCTCTTCCCCCTCCTCCTCCTCCTCCTCCTCGTCTGCACAGGACATTGACTCTGGCAAGCACTGTGCCCCTCTGGGTGGCACAAAGCTGCCAATTCAGGACTCCACACAGCTCTGCAGACAGCTCCTCCATGAACTGGGCGTGGGACATGGCCACTGACCCTGAGGACAGACACATCTCCTTGTGCAGAATATAGCTGTTGGTTGCAGCAATGTCTATAAAGTGGTACAGCAGTGTCCTGTACCACCTGTTGGACCTCTTGTGCACTGAATAGTATTGGATGAGCTGGTCAGACAAGTCCACCCCACCCATGTATTTATTATATTCAACCACACAACGAGGTGCCATGATGTTTTCTTTTTGCCATTTCCCCGTTTCCTTAGCATACACATTCCTGATGACAGTGTCTCCATTGAAGGCTTGGTGTATTGTAGAGCACACTGACACCTCTCTCGTATCCATCCACTTCACAAACAAAAGCACCTTCTCTCTGAGCCATCGGATTGAGCCCCTGGGGCTCTTTGAGGTTAGCGCATTCAATTTTGATTTAGGCACGTTCTTCTGATTGTCGCGGAATGTACCACATGCCACAAAACCCCTTGCAAATAGGTCAGTCAAAAGTTTTGGGCTGGTGTAGAAATTGTCTACAAAAAGATGGTAACCTCTCCCCAAGTAGGAATTATCCATTAGGCCACTGACAACATCATAGGAGAGACCCTGCCCTGAAATGAAGCGGCTTTTTCCAGTATAGATGGAAAAATCGTTGGTATACCCATTGCTGGAGTCTGCTAACACAAACAGCTTCACACCCCACTTAGTTGGCTTGGCCTTCATGTACTGCCTCAGTCCAATTTTGGCTTTTGTGGCCACCATCCGTTCATCAATTGAAATTTCTTTCCTAGGCTGCCACATTGCATTGCATGCCTCTTTTATGGTGGCTTGAAGTGGTTTTAGGCGATGGAGTAGATCGTACTCTGAGGTGTCCTTTTTCCGGTCATTTGCCAAATCATGGTCTGGGTCGCTCAGGTGTACAGCTCTGCTGATTGCCATGAACCTGTCTCTTGTCATGACAGAAGCAGGAAAGAGAACACTTAGGTGTGATCCCTTCCTCCAGTAGTCTCTTACTTTTGGCAGTTTTAGAAGTGCCATGAACATCATAAGGCCGACATACATGAGGAATTTTACCGGCAGCTCTTCCCAAACAAACTTTTTCCCCTTAGCCTGCTCCTTTTCAGCATTTTTGTTTGTGTTCTTGCAGATGATATTTACAGCTTTGTTGTTAAAAAAAATTCTAAATATTTCTGCAGGAGTATACTCCACACCAACAAAACCTTGGACTCCAGGGGCTCTTTTCGGGCAAAAGTGTGGTAGTTGTTGGGCAGTATCTGGCACCTCAGGTCCGTTCCAAACAGCTCCTGGCTCTTCTGGGGTCAGAGATGTTTTTTTCCCTTTTCCTCTTCCTCTCCCTTTCACTGTCAGGGGGGCTGGCATTGGTTTGGCCTTTTTTCTGGATGCTGCACCCTCCTGGCCACATTCTTTTCCCTCTCGGTTTGAAGGAGGCCTACTGATGGGGACAGTGGCTTGTGCATCCCCTCTCTCATCCTCTGGACTAAAATAAAAGGGAGGAAAATATACAGATATAAATGTCTGAATTTATTTTATTTCCTTTATTGCTTTTATTTCTCCAGTGTCATCCTATCTATTTTCTAAACACAGTCTCAACTTTTGATTTGATACACACTTTATCCCTCTGCTAACATTACTAGTTGATGGAATCAGTAACTGAATTGTAATGCAATGAATATAATAACATTAGACCTTATAACAAACAACCAAAGAGGGCAAGCGGAATGAGGCAATAAATGAAAGGTATTGCTTGACGATTTTTTACTGAAATAAATAGTAGCCTCTATTGATATTGAATCTTGAGCTCAGGACTTCACTTTATGACACAATTACGGCAAATGGCCATCCACTATAAAAACTCTTAGGACGAATTATTTTCGGCGTTATACAGAAATAGCAACCGATAAATGCAACACAAACAATAAGAAATAAGCAAAGTTACTCACTTTTTATCTTCGAAGGGATCAATCCCGTGATCATACTCCTCTTCATCACGCCAGCTGTCAACTTCAGAATCTGAGGAATCCACCGCTGCATCGCTAAGCGGTCCGCCGGACAAAATAAATTCTACGGCTTCTTCCGTAGTGTAACGCCGTTTTGACATGTTGGTTTGAATTTGTCTTGGGATGTGTGTGTGTGTGTGTGTGTGTGTGTGTGTGTGTGTGTGTGTGTGTGTGTGTGTGTGTGTGTGTGTGTGTGTGTGTGTGTGTGACTGTATCTAGATATCTCGTGTTGTATTTATTTCTCTTACGCTGGCAAAATTACTCTTCTTTAGTATTACTCTCTCGTCTCTCTGTTTCTCATTGTTTATCTCCCGCCGCCAAAAACATACACAGCAACCTATGTTGATTGGTCGAGAAGATGGTAGCATGGGCAGAGGTTTGCCTGGACCTTTACATTTTAAACCTATCCGGACACAGGGGGGTGGGACTTAGTCTAAAACCTTTGCTGTTTGGCTCAGACGGAGGGGCCGCGTGGGTCTCCTTGACGAATCAAGGCTGTACAATGTGATGACGTTGCCCCGATCACGTCGGAGCCTCTGAATCCCGGAAAAGGACATAGTGATACCAGCGAAAAGCCTAGAATCGCCGCTTTACCTCACTTTTTAAATCAGATGGATAGGATTAGCGGTTAAAAAGTTATTAAGCATTTTAGAACGCTAACGCTTTGAAGCCGCGGGCGGCTCGCTCGGTCTTTAAGGGTTAAGGCCCTGACACACCAAGCAGTCACCAGAGAACTCGCCGACGCCGACGCCGACTGTTGCGTCGCCGTGTTCTCCTGCGTCTTGGCCATGTGTCGCACTGGAACACACCGCAAAGACTTCAGCCGAGCACGTACGAACTGCGCATGCATGAGTGGCAATAACTCTCCTTACCAGCAGGCGGCGGTAGTGTGTATTCGTCATTCAAAAGAGGCAACAACCGGAAGACAGAGAAGAAGAACAGACTGCGTGATCTAAACAAACAACAAATAGCGTGTGCGTTCCATTTTCACTCTCATCCATCGAAAACATGTTTCGTGCGGTACTGGAGCTATCAGCCATTGGAGTGTTGCTTGTGGAAGACATTCTCAAGCAACCGTTTCGCTTCTCATGCACTGATTCGCTAGCTGAACAGCCAATCAGAGTGATTTCTTTGTCCGACTGCCTGTGGCCGACGCACGGCCGATTCAACATGTTGACGGTGCGGGACACACTAAATTGAGTTTGGGCGACAGGGCACGCTTCGTCGTCCGACTAACGAAAACGGCAGATTTAGGCCTGGTGTGTCAGGGCCTTTAGACGCGCTGCCACCAGCCCCCTCAGACAGAGCACTGCATCCGTCCATCCCACTCCAGCAAGTTGGTTCCTACTTTTCCAGATTGCTAATTTTGCATTAGCAAACA